AGCTCTGAAGCCCCTTGCATCATGTGAGGACATAGTGCAAAGTGAGTCATGGGCAAACTGAAGAGGGCTCTCACAAGAACCAGGCCATGGATTTTAGGACTTCTAGTTTCCAGAACTGCATTTTGTTATAGCAGCCTGAATAATCTAAGACACACTTCAAAATCAACATTCTCAATCTCAGCCTGCACTTTTCATAGCCTCTGTGCTGTACCAGTGCTGGATTGTTTGTTTCATTCTGTTCTACCACCATTACCAATGTTCTCTGTACCTGTACCAGACCCCTAAGTGGTTTGAAAACAAGTGATGCAGGTGGCTTCCCAAAGTGCCTATCAGTTTAAATTTAAAATGACCAGGCAACAAGTAACAATAAAACAAAAGTAAGGAAAGTTGATTGAAGTCACACATTCCCTGGCTGCGCATTACCTATGTCACTTAGGGCTCACCATGCACAAAGTCTCCGGGAACTGTAAGTCTGGAAGAGAGAGGATCTAGTTCATCTACTGTGTGTGCCAGTAATGGGCAGGTTATTACAGTCATGTAAATTTAGAAAAGACCTCCATAGATGGCTTGTTTTAGGCACATCCCCGCCAAAACCATGCGATTTTATGGGTGCTTGAGGAATGCTTGAAAGTTGAAGTTTATGTATAAATCTGGTATAGTATTAATTACACGATAAAACAATAGTACCATATGTAAAAATAAAAGAAAATATCAATGTTATACTTATCCCACTAGACGTAAACCCCCCCTTGCTTTTATTTAGGGGGTTAAAATTGGGGATTGTTAGCTTTAATGAAAAAAGAGTAGTAACCACAGAAACACAGCATTTATCACGTTCCTTGGTAAAGACAGTAACTCTTTTAATGGAATGTTTCGAGGGGTTCTGGCAAGCAATTCTGCCTCAAGATCTCTCACCTATAGGTGTGAACGATTTAAAGCAACACAGTTCTCTATAACTAATTTAATAATAGCAATTTTGATTAAAAGTTAACATATACTTACTATAAAGAAATGCAAAAATGTGAGGTAACAAACCAAACTATTCATGGCAAAGAGGGAGAACATCAAAGGACAAAGCCAATGTTTCGATTGCAAGGAAAAGAACAATTGATAGATATTTAAAAGTCTACTACATAGCACTTGTTATACTTTATTTCATCTAATCCTCCTGTGAGTGTGTGTGTGTGTGTGTGTTTATAATATACATCTATTTTTTACTATATACATGTATTTTGGCATGTTTTTCTACTTGATAAAATAGCTCACGCTTATGATCGATGGGAAAATACCAAAGTATAGACAGGAAAATACTATGCATTTTCCATGCAAAAATGACACTGTTTATGGTTTTCTTTCTTGCCATAATTGAGATTATGAAAGATTTCTGTTTTTACTGGCCATTTTCTTACATCATTATATATTCTTAGAATGTAAATTTAACAAGGGAATAACTTTTTGTCTGTTGGTTCATTGTTTTCTCAATAGTGCTTGGCACATAATTAAACACTCAATAGATGTTTGTTGAAAGTGTCAAAGTGATGGTCACACCATATTAGTCATCGTTCTCACTTCAAACATTTAATTTTGTGTGTATTAAATGTATTAATCTTTATTATATCTTTTCTGATTTTTTTTTCCTGAAGACCAAGTATCATACATGAAAATTGCTAGATGAGAAGAAGTTGCCTACTTTCTTGAGTTCATAATACAAACTGATAAATTTCTTTCTAAAGTTTCAAACATTGTATTTGTTTTGGATCATATATATCTTCATAAAAGAAAACCACCTATAACTCTCCTTTCTTGTACAGTTCTGACCAGGATTTGATATCAACCTCATGATGACCTTATAAAGATGAATTGTGAAGTATTCTTTTTTCCTATTCTTGAGAAGAGTCATAAGAATGGTGCTATATTTGTCTTGAGGTTTGAAAATGTTCACAAATGAAACCTTCCGTACCTAGAACTTTGTTATTGAACAGGTATTTATGCACAGATTTAAATTTTAAATTGGTGTTCAAATTTTCCATTTTCCTTTTTCTGTCAGTTGTCATAAATTTTGTTCTCAGGTAGTTCTGCATTTATCAAAATTTGTAACTTCCTAAATTTTGAGTTTTGTTGAGTTTTTATATAATATCTATTTGTTAATTTCTGTTCTTATTTTATTATCTCTTTCCATGTGCATTCTTAATTTCCTGACCTATTCCTTTAATTTTATTGACCTATTTTTTTGAGATAGTAAAGTCACTGTCTTTTAAACTTTCTTCTTTTTTAATATATAGATTTGATGATTGTAAATTTTTCCATAAATATACCATTAGTAACATTTGACATATATTTATATGCCATATTTTTGTTACCATTTAGTGCAAAAATACCATTGAACTCCACTGGAATGTTTTTGACCCAATATTTATTTTAAAATTAATCGTTAAAATTCCAAATAGTGAAGATTTTTAGTGATATTTTTATCTTATTAATGGTTGAAAACACTATGTAAGAAAAGATTATTTCAATCATTTAAAATTTGTTGAGAATTGTTTTATGGCCTAGACAATGATCAATTTTACTAAAAATTGGCAAATATCATCATTAAAAAGTATATTCTATCACTACTAGGTACACTGTTGTTTAGGTTAATTTTATCAATTTGGTTATTCTTGTTTCCTAAATCCCTTTTAAATTGTATGTAATTAACTATAAAGTATATTTACTTGAAGTTTAACTTACATTATTGCATTTTTCAGTTTTCATTTAATCTTTTGTTTAGACTTAGCACTTTGGTAAAATTGTCCGAAATATCTTCAATGCTTTCTACTATAGTAATATCCATTACTTTTAAGTATATATCCAATTAATATCTGAATCACGAATGACTCTGCCTTGTATTTTACTTGATAAGACATGTGGTTTTAAAAATGTATGGTTATGAATATTATTTCCCCCCCAAATGGTGTTATTTTCCATTAGCTTTTGAGAGGCATATTGAATGGAATCAAATGAGTTCAGTCTGGTCAAAAAATTGAGAAAGTAAAGTTATATTCTTTAGAAGGCTTGGTATAGCTTCCATGGGATCCCTAAAGCATGTGTGTTTACCAGGGGCCCCTTTCCTTTTGACATACTCTGAAGTCCAACTCCGGTTTCCCAAGCACCATGAATGTCAATAATGCCACTGTGTTTCCATTGCTCTGCCTACTCCGTAGACATTGTCCTACACAGCTTAATATTCATTAAATGCTTTACAGGGAAAGTTGATACAAATGTTGGGCTTTTCTTAATATTTCATCTTCTCTGGCGTATTTTAAAAGAAAATCCAAAATTTGAAAATAAATTTCCATTTATTAATGCTCCAGAACACAGTTGTTTTAGTATTTCTTTTAGAAAGTTTAGTTAGTAGAAATTTGTCTCAGTCACGATGAATCTCACCAGACTAACATCAGACAAACTTGGATTTAAAGTCATTTTATTAAATTGCTTTCTTTTATTGATTATTTATGGCCAATTCAATCACTACTAATTCCCACTCAGTTATATGACTTTATGGGTGGATGGTCATAAAATGTGAACCAAAAGCTTGGAGTGACTATAGTTTTATAAAGTCAATGATTTCATGAGTCTTATACAATCCAAGTTTTTCTTGGAATAAGTGCCTTTTCAAATTTAGCTTTACAATAACCACAGGGGGCCCTCCCTGGTGGCGCAGCGGGTTAAAGCACAGCACTGAGAAGCTAAAGCCACTTCCGCATGAGTTCGAATCCCGCCTGCCCTGGAGGTGACCACATGGCGTGGCAGACCTCTCCTGACCCTCCCGCTGCTCCCCTCAGCAGTGTACTTAGTTGATCTGCCTGTTCTGCTCCCCACTCTGTCACTGGTGAATCCTCTCACCCTCCGCAGCTCTGGCCTGTACCCCAGTTCTGTACAAATAAATAAATCTTTAAAAAAAAAAAACCACAGGGAAATAATAGTTACTTTTGTCACTAATCCTTTGAAATAAAAACTCAAATCAAACCTTGGAAGTCAGTTAGAGGCTGTGACTTCCCACCTGAAGAATTGATTATAGTTGTTAAAAAAAAAAAAGAAAAAGAAAAGCAACATGTTCTGAAATGTAGCCCAACAGGGTTAAAATTCTTAAAACTTTTCAAGATACAAATTTTAAAGATTTTTATGAAGTTTCTTTTTTTAAATGTAAAAATATCAACACTATCTTTGGTGAATGTCAATGCATTGTTTATCATGGACTATTTTGTTCTTCTGTGACCTATCATACAAAATAATTTGAGAGAAATTTGGTAAAAATCAAATGTAGATGAATAACAAATGAATTCATTGTATTAAAGATAAATGTCTATATTCTAGAGTATATCATTTAAACCAAACATGATACATGAAAATTAACATTTGTTTTTCCTCAATACTGGGACACAGAGTAGTATTCTCAGGTCTTATTTTCCAATTACAATAACATGGCTAGATATTGATGCAGTGTATTATTAGCAATAATGCATATTATAATAAGTGATTATTTATTAGCAGTAAAATGTTTCTCCAGGGTTTAATTTAGAATGCCTGAGATGAAATAACACAATCTCAATCTTGCAAATGATCTTCGGTATAGATATTGCTTATGGCAAGTTTTATTGCTTTGCAGCAGTTTAAGGTCCTTAATTGGTTAGCTCTTTGAAGTGAAAGCATATGGTGCTAGTGCCAAGATGGGTTGGTGTGAATGAACACATGCAGTATAAGAAGTCAGGCTTCTTGAAATGGTTGGTAGATTTTAGTTCAGAAATAGAAGTGATTTCTTTCATGCTTAATTATATCCTTAGACCTTCTCATATCCTGCTGCTACAGCAGTTTCTACCCATGGCCCAGGATTCCACTTGCATATAGAAATGTGGGCATGGATGAGTTAATCCAGCCAACTTTACTCTTTCATGCTTGAGGTACATTCAAATGCCAGGTCTGGAAGAAAAGCTGTGGTGGGGTTATGGTGCCAAACTTACCTGACCCGGTGGGTTACAGCAATCTGTCCTAGAAGACTTCTACTTGAGACTTCAGAAGGAACAGAGTTTTCTAATTGCTGCAAATTCTGTGTTAGCAAGGTAAGGTTCCAGTCCAGAAATTCAGAGAGGAGCTTAGGAATGCAGGAATAAGATAATGCAGCAAGATGATGCAGTTCTGGAGCTGTGAGTTACAGATGTGGCCTGAAAAAAAGTATAACATACCAATCCTTACTGGTTCAAGTGGGAAAAGTCAGAGAGAGCTCCAGAGCCAGGCTGACTTGATTTGTGGAACTCCAAAACTAACACCTAAAGGCTCCTACATTCTCCCTAACTAGAAATAGAGCTGATCATAGAGCTCAGCAAATAGCTGAGTCACCAGGCCTTCACTAAGTGATCCCAGTGGTAGAACACAAGGGCTTTAGAAGCAAGGAAGTGCTTGGTCACTACATCCTTCCTTATTCTAAGGACTTTTTCCTGTGGACTTTATCCCTTCTCAAGATTCTTAATCTTGGAGACTGACCAAAATCTACAGATGGCTTTTTTCTTGATTACCAGGTATCATTCCTTGTGACCCCAAATAAACACGCAGCAGAGTTGGAGCAGGATTCAGGTGTCTTCTTCCTGACACAGCTGCTGATATGCCTTGGTCTTAGAGATGGCCCAGGGCCCTGTGTTTTTCCTCTCCAAGCTTCCTTTAAATCTGCTGACAGAGGACTGAGTAATGACTGGAAGTGTCCATGACTGAACTAAAATCTTCATGCTTCCAAAACACTAAAATTAATTTCCTTAATGGAATTGCTGGCTAGGAGAAAATCCATCTATAGAATTCTTACTTATACCTCTATCCAAAGTGTTTTTACTTTTACTTCAAATTCCACAGCTCAGTAGATGACTTAATTATTTGGAAAGAGGGCTGAGTCAGCAGGTGACTGTACTCAATTCAGCTCTAACACACCACAGCCATGCTGATTATGTCCACACAAGACTATGTCTTAGACTTCTCCCTTGAGGAATACTCTGAGCTAATACATTCTGGTCAGCCTTCTTAGTACAGAATGTCAGGATGGTGTCTTTTTTTTTTTTTTTTAAGATTTATTTATTTGTGCATACAGACGTGGGGTACAGGCCAGAGGCTCAGGGGTGGCAAGAGGCTTCACCAGAGACAGAGCAGGGAACAGAACAGGCAGCAGATCGACGAAGTACACTGCTGAGGAGAGCAGCGGGCGGGTCAGGAGAGGTCTGCCACGCCATGGGGTCACCTCCGGGGGGCAGGCGGGAATCGAACTCATGCGGAAGTGGCTTAAGCTTCTTAGTGCTGTGCTTTAACCGGCTGCACCACCAGGGAGGGACAGGATGGTGTCTTTAAAAGAAAAGGTAGAAGCAAGCTAAAAGAGCCTCAGACTCGACAGCAGTGAGCATTCAACCCTGCAAGTGAAATCCAGCCAAAGAACAAGCCGGGCTCTCAGATTAGAAACCCCAAATGTAGGCAGACAAGAGTCCAGTATGAGGGAAAGGTTGTTATTCAGATTTTCCCAAACCCCAAATGAAATGTGCATTTGTGTACTGACTACACACTAATTCATCCATCTAACATTTATTCAACCTCTCATGTATCCTCATGCTTTATTAGAGGTGAGTCAAGCCCAAGGTCTGTCAGCAAAGCCAGGACTAAACAAAAGTTAGAATAGGGTGAAATAAGAAAATTTACAGGCACTTTCCTATTGAGGATTTAAATTAATCCTCAGAACAATCCTGTAGCTACTATTCTAAGTTCTGAAGAATGGCAAAGAAAGCACATTTCATGGTAGCGGAATCTTCACTCTGGAGTGAAGATGATCACCCATGGGTCATTCCTTGAGGTAGACCCTGTGATTCTCTGCTTGTTTACCTGTAAAATGGATACTTAGAACTATTTTGGAGGATATATTTTTTTAAGATTTATTTATTTGTGCATACAGACGTGGGGTACAGGCCAGAGGCTCAGGGGTGGCAAGAGGCTTCACCAGAGACAGAGCAGGGAACAGAACAGGCAGCAGATCGACGAAGTACACTGCTGAGGAGAGCAGCGGGCGGGTCAGGAGAGGTCTGCCACGCCATGGGGTCACCTCCGGGGCAGGCGGGGATCGAACTCATGCGGAAGTGGCTTAAGCTTCTTAGTGCAGTGCTTTAACCTGCTGCACCACCAGGGAGGGCCATTGGAGGATAGTTTTAAGGAAGAAATTGCATTAAATGGCAAAAATGAAACTCCTGACCACAGGGCTTACTACCTGGCAAGGATGCAGACCTGAACCGGGATAATGTACAGTAATCCCTGCCCTGTGAAAAACCAGCATGAGATACCCTGGTTGGAGGGAGCATGCCTCAGAAACCCAGAGTTCGGCCACTAACTTAGAGCATTGTGGAAAATCAAGTCAGGAGTGAGCGAAAAGCAAGAGATTAGTCATAAGCACAAAGCAGAAGCCCAGTCACTTGAACTGATATGTGAAGTTAATGGGGTACTGGTCAGACGACATGAGCATCACTGCTCTTCAGCACGGCCTATAGCGTCAATGCTGACAAGAAGGAAGTCACTGTCAGAATTCATGACTCATTTACTATCTCCAGGAGTGATGGCACACAGGTCTTTCTCCTGTGGCTCACTAACTATTCGTTGTTTCCACCTACCTACAGCCTTGTTTCTCAAATACCATGAACTGATGCTCAAAATCTGATGCTGTCTTCTCCTAGCCAACGTCAGCTGGGTTTATGTTAAGCTCATTCAAGGCTAAGTTAAAAAAGCCATGGTCTTTTGAACTCTGCCATGAGCCACCATACCCATGAGAGTCTACAAGTAGAAGTCACCCAGCTGAGGAAGGGGTGACAGAAGACACACAGTGCCAGGCCCTATCTTCATGCACCCCTTACCCTGTGTAGAGCATGGTTGGGCTAAGTCTTAGTCCAGTCTCTGTTTCTTGCTCTCATACACCCATGATCTAGAGTAATGACATTTAGACTACACTGCCCCTTGGGAGAAGCTCTTCTTGATCTTGGCTTCTGAATATGATTGTGTCTCACAAGTGAAGGAAGATGACTCCAGCTTAGGGCTTAAAAATAGAACTTTCTGACTCCAGTTTACTAATTATACTATAATTGAAGAGCAGGGGAGAAGGTTTGCTTTGTTTCTACATAATTAATGCAATAAGACCTGGATTGTATTACAGAATTATCTCTTTTTTCTCAGTTTGAACTCCTACCCAAATCCATTCTGGGAAATTCTTTTCCTTATGCTCACCAAATTTGTCACTAAACCTATGTCCACAAAACACTAGCAGAAAAGGTTTTTAGACATTAAATCAGAAAATAAGTGAAAGGTATATATGTCAAAAGAGTATATGAGTAAGTAGATACGGGGTAGAAATTATTAAAATGTCATAAAGAATTCACTTCATTTAGAATACCATTTGCTATGTCTCTGAATTGAAATTCACCACTCACATATAACTTAGCTAAAATCTTTTCCTGATCATCTCTCATTAATAATTTCTTATTTTTCATAATTCCCACAGCAGCCACTTTTCTGTTTCTTATACCCACTGATTTACTTAATTGTAACAATTGTTATATTTTTCTGGAAATAGTTATATAGAGTGAAAATGGAAATGTATTTCATTATATTTTCCATAATGGTTGGTCACAGCTTTTTATTTTGGTTATTGAAATGAATAAAACATACAATTTCACCTAACAACATATTCTTTATATAGTACTGCTTCCAGGTTATGCCTGCATACCTCTACATTCTATTACTTTATGTACATACTTACAAAAAGGGGGTGGGGGGAAGTGTAGTACATATTTAGTAACTTTTTATGCTGTGTTATTGAAAGTATTCCTGATTTCAGAAAATTGATTTTGACCAGGCACTGCTGAGAATTAAATCCTCTGTTTACAGTTTTTATAACTAACTAGGTTTCCACACACTAGCTTCTGACTAAGGGCTTCAAATCTGTATCTTCTCCACTCCCCGCCTCCTCCCTGCACTGAGTGCCACAGGGCACTCAGTTTTATCTTCACTTCAATGATAATATCTTTTTTGGAAAGGTTTATAACATTATCAAGGAGTTAAATTCATTCTTTCCTTAATTACTTTTGTACATTATAGAACTCTCTCCATTCAATTCTTAAGTTTTTTCATGCTGTCTTCTAAATGCCTAAATTGCTGTTCTAAATATTTGTATTTTTAATCCAATCTGGTGAATAAAGTAAGGATTAAATTTTATCCTTTCCAAGTGGATAACTAATTTTTCTGCCACCATTTTGTTGCCTCTCTGTGCAGTTATGCAACTCCTAACAAAATTTAAATTTTTGTCCATAGAACTGAGCTCTGTATTCTACTCCACTGGAAACCATGTCTATCTCTGTGCCAAAATTGGGTTATTTTAATCACTATAATTTTATAAAAAGGGTTGATCTCTTTCCCATATTGGTCTTCTTTAAGAATTTCATAGTAATATGAATATTAAGGACATTTGTTAAATTCAATATAAAACTGTGATTATATTTAAAGTGGAACTGGATTTTAAACTGAATTTATAAGTTAGTTGGAGAGAATTTCTATCTTTATTATAGTGAAACTTAGCATCCAAAAATGTGGTATTGACCTGGACCTTTTCACTCTATTTGACATTTCTGTTGCTTTAATAATTTTTTTTATCTCATATATCTTTTGGGATTTTTCTTTAGGTAAACTATATATTTTGTTGTCACTGCAAAAGTATGTTTTTAATTGCTTTTCTAATGCTTCTTATCACTGCTGCTAATTATACTGAGCTTGCACTCGAATATCAGGATGAATTTTCAAATAACTTTTAGAATCTCATCTTGATTCATTAGATTAATAATATTCTCTTAGACTTTATATGTATAAAGTATGCCTCATGCCCTTCTTTCTAATTCATGTACCTCTTAAGTTGTTATTAAATTGTTTAGAACCTCAAATAATTGTTGAATAGAAGTGGTAACTTGAAATAGTTCTAGCTTCTTCCTAATCTTAATGCTTCAAAGTCCTATTAATGATTTTTATTACTGTTGGTTTTGAATATTAGGTAGAAATTCCCTTCTGATCTACTTTGCTAAGATGTTTAAAATCATGATTTTTTTTTTATCAAAAGTTATTTCTGGAGTTAACTCAGATCATATAAAGCTTTTTTTGACCTCAATGT